GCAGGACTCTGACAGCAAGAGACAGACAGCAGGATGCAGGCAAGGAACACAAGCAGCTACACACTCAGCGGAACACTGACAGCAAGACATAGTCAAGGAAACACAGGCAGTGGTGCACTGACAGTGGGATACAATCAAGGGAAGGGAGCGGGACACAAACAGCGTGTAACTATAATTATGAGGGCCCCGGTGCAAAAAAATCCCAGAAGGGCATCCCTGACCTGAGCCTGGGGCCCTTCCTTCCAATCCCAGGGCCCTTTACTCCCATTGCAGGGCTCTTTATTACAGTCCCACAGTGGGACCCTTATACATGTACTTCAGTGGGCCCCATTTTTGCTCTTGCATCAGAGTTCCCAGCTTTACAAGAGCCCACTTTACATCAACGTTCCCCTTTACAATACATTAGAGTCCACAAGATTTTCTTTACAGTGCAAGGAGGAATTCTGTGTACCCTGATGTAAAGGGGAACTCTGATGTTAGAGGTTCTCTGGTCACCAGAACCCACCCTTACAGAGTTTGCAGAGTTCCTCCTTACCTCAGAGTCTACAAAGTTTCCCTTTGCACTGTAAGGGTGAACTCTGCTGACTCTGATGTGAGGGGGAATGGTGGGAATTCTGATGTAAGGGGGGCCCTGGTGACCAGAGAAGCTCTTACATCAGAGTTGCCCTTTACACCAGAGTCTGCAGAGTGAATACACTAAGGTAAAGGGATTCACTGATTTAAGAAAACCTTTATATCAGTGTCCCCCCTTACCTTTGGGTCTTCGCTCGCCCCTTACATAAAGTGGCTGACTGACTGCTCCACAGAGTCTGTGTGGCCTGGACCTGTCACACACTGACCTCCTGTAATTGCCTGCAGGCTTTGGTTTTCCTCTCCCATGTACCCCCTGTAACGATTATGCGCAATAGAGACATGGAAGCTGTACGCGACAGCCATCTTGTTAAGGTCTCAGCTATTTCGTTTTTCATGAACAATCCTCTTTTCTCCCCTCTTCCCTCCTCTTGAAAATGGAATTTGTAGCTGTAAGTTGTAACGAACTTCAAAAGAGCCTCTTATCTTAAATAAAACACAAATAGAGGCCAGCTCCAGAGCTGTAAACTGCTAATTAGTCTTGGCAGGATGTCTGTTTTGCAAAGACATTTTCCTCTGCTCAATTGTAAAACAATAACTCTTCACACATTAGGCCATTAGAGATCTAGGAATGCAGAGTGTGCCATAAAACGTCTATTCCACATGTAACAATTCCGCATACAATTCATAGAATTCAACAGGAACTATGAACATTAATATTAGGTATATAATTGAATAGGGCATTTCATGCTGAGCCAAACAAGGTCCTACATGACTATGTTAACACATAGGAAAGGGAAGAAAGCAGTCTCTTCCCTCCTGGGTGACAAAGGTACGCTGTGTTTGGTATCCCTGGGTTTGAAATATAATTATGAAAATTAATCTGCCAGTTGCTAAAATACCACCTGCACATACTGGAAGTTATTAATATTAGTATGAAATTGTAGTTGGGACTTGGTCATAAACTTTGTGACCTCCTAGCACCCATCCCCTAAACCGGATGATTGGTCAGTTGTTCTCAGGCGACACCCCATTAATATCATACAGGAGGACTGACAGGCCTGGTGAAGGGAGCTCTCGTTTAACATCAATCAAGAAACATCTTAACGGACTTGAAAGGCAACATTTTTGCTTGAACAATTGGACTCTGCTAAACCAGGACTTTGCAAGTATTCTGCCTTCTTAACTCCTTTCTTTTATTTCTCTGTTGCTTTATTGTTCTCTTTATGTCTTTGTAACATCTTTTTCTGTAAATATTTTAATTGCACCTTTTTGATCTTTTTAGTAATGAACCCTATTTTGAAACGTGTTGAAACTGTCTTTAAAGCTTTTAATGCAAACTAAAGAATCCCTGTCTCTTGAAGAGTGCTAATGTATGTAATAATCCTCTGAATATACCTGTCTGTGGTGACAGTGTGTGTTGCAGACACTTATGCTAATATCATAGTGTTATTGCTAGGATTTGTGAGTTTCCTCCTTCTCTGTAAAAAGGTGGTGGTGGTAGTGTGAAGGGTTAATTGCGTAATTAACCTAACCCAGTAACAATTGCTCTCAGGCTGCTGGCACATAGATTGTGGTCCCGCGAGCTGGAAAATCTTTGTGCAGGGTGCAGCTGAGAGTTGCATTGTTATGCAAGTGACAGCACGGTGCGAGATTGGTTGGTCCTTTGTCACGAGTTGAGGATAAGGACAGGGGTCGGGTGCCATGTTACATCACACCCCCTACTTGTAGTCACTTTCAAAATTGTTGGAAAAGGGGCCAAACATAGTGATGTCACCATACACCTGACCAGAGGCCCCCCCCTCAAGCCAAGACCAGTTGAGACTCAGTCCAAGCCAACTCAGTCTGTGCATTTCTGATGCCAGCTGAATAGTAATCGGTTAGGCTTAGCTTGGGAAGGGGCTGGGTGGGCCGCTTGTCAGGTGTGCAGTGACGTCATGACATGGTAAATTTGAAAGCAACTGCAAGGAAGGTTGGGGGAAGATGTTGAGGAAAGGTGGGGAATGTGGGGTAGTGCTTTGAGTGTAGGATGGAATAGGATGGGATTGGGATGTGATAGGAATTAGGATCTTTAAGAGTCTGCTATGATCTAGAAGATGGGAGGAGTACAGGGGATAGCAGGGAAATGTAGGGTGGGGGGTGCTGGGGGGGGGTGGTTGGGGGAGTTTGGGATTGTGTGGCTCTTGGATATTGTGTGGTGGTTGTTTCTAAAATGGAGACTGGGCTGGGGTGGGATGGATGAGGAGCTATGAGATTTAGCTGAGGGTCAGTGAATGACAGAGATGTGGAGAGGGAGGGGGAGAAAGGAGTAGCTGATTGCCAGCAGCAGGGGGTGCTGAAGGTGTAGGGCTGAGAGCAGGGAAGGGAGAGAGATGGGCAGAAAATGATATACAGTTGTGTTCAAAATAATAGCAGTGTGTTGAAAAAAGCAAATAAAGCTCAAAATCCTTCTAATAGTTTTTATTTCCATACACACAAATGCATTGGGAACACTACACATTCTATTCCAAATCAAAACATGAAGAAAAATATATCAAATTTGTGTTGTTCCTCTAAAAAAAATTGAAGAAAAGTGAATATTAGACTGTTCAAAAAAATAGCAGTGTTTGTATTCTTCTTTACAAACTCAAACTTTCACTATATAAACTGAAAAATGTTTGAAGATTTTGCTTTCCTTTGAATCACTTAATATTTAGTTGTATAAGCACTGTTTCTGAGAACTGCTGTACATCTGTATTGCACGGAGTCAACCAACTGGCACCTGTGAACAGGTATTCCAGCCCAGGATGATGGACTACATTCCACAGTTCTTCTCTATTTCTTGGTTTTGCCTCAGAAACTGCATTTTTGATGTCACCCCACAAGTTTTCTATTGGATTAAGATCCGGGGATTGGGCTGGCCACTCCATAACATCAATCTTGTTGGTCTGGAACCAAGATGTTGCACGTTTACTGGTGCGTTTGGGGTCGTTGTCTTGTTGGAACACCCATTTCAAGGGCCTTTCCTCTTCAGCATAAGGCAGCATGACCTCTTCAAGTATTCTGATGTATTCAAACTGATCCATGATCCATGGTATGCGATAAATAGGCCCAACACCGTAGTATGAGAAACATCCCCATATCATGATGCTTGCGCAACCATGCTTCACTGTCTTCACAGTGTACTGTGGCTTGAATTCAGTGTTTGGGGGTCATCTGACAAACTGTCTCCGGCCACTAGACCCAAAAAGAACAATCTTACTGTCAGGGCTCCAGGGTATGACCAGAGGTATGTGAACTGACGCAGGGAAACGCAGGCTTCATATATGTTATAAACAATATAATTTATTAACACTAACAATACAAAACGCAGTGCAATACTAAAACATAACACAGTGCAAACGAACCAAACACCACCCCACAGATAACAATACATTCAATGCAAGCGTCGTCAGGCAGGCCGGGTCAGTAACAATCGGGCAGGTAGGAACAGGAGGAGCAGGCAGAGAGTAGTCAGGTCACGAGCCAGGTACAGCAACTAACGGGCAGGTAGGTACAGGGGGTCAGGCAGAGAATGGTCGGGGTCACAAGCCAGGGATCAAACAGGAGAAGTCAGCAGAGGTCCGGATCAGGCAGGGTCGGCAACGAATCAGTCAGACAGGAACAGGAACAGGGATGCAGGTAACAAGATACAGGGGCCCATAGAAAAACACACACCAAGGCACAGACTGCAGGTCTGGCCATCCCTTAAATACACCTGTAATCAGCCTCAGGTGTCTTGGCTGACTACAGGGTTGAGTCTCTGATTGCTGAGAGCACCCGCTGGCCAGCCCTGGTACTGCAGCCCACAAGGCAGGTGAGTCCCACCATTACTGGCAAGACCATTCCTGACAGTACCCCCCCCCCTCAAGGAGCGGCCTCAGGACGCTCCAAACAGTCCTAGCTGGGCAAAATGTTCCACCGCCCGGGTCTGGTACCTGGCGGGATATCAAAGACTGGCACATCGGGCTGGACTCCGGGCAGAGGCACATCGGGCTGGACTCCGGGCAGAGGCACATCGGGCTGGACTCCGGGCAGCGGCACATCGGGCTGGACTCCGGGCAGCGGAAGATCGGGCTGGACTCCGGGCAGCGGCACATCGGGCTGGACTCCGGGCAGCGGCACATCGGGCTGGACTCCGGGCAGCGGCACATCGGGCTGGACTCCGGGCAGCGGCACATCGGGCTGGACTCCGGGCAGCGGCACATTGGGCTGGACTCCGGGCAGAGGCACATCGGGCTGGACTCCGGGCAGAGGCACAGGGCCCCCAGGCGGGGCGGCAGGCACCGGGCCCCCAGGCGGGGCGGCAGGCACCGGGCCCCCAGGCGGAGCGGCGGGCACCGGGTCGTCAGGCACGACAGCGGGCATTGGGTCACCAGGCATCAGGTCATTTGGCTCACCAGCGGGCACCGCGTCATCTGGCAAGGCAGTGGGCACCGAGTCACCAGGCACGACAGTGGGTTGCGAGTCAACTGGCATGACCGCGGGCACTGGGTCATCAGGTACCGGATCGTCTGGCTCGACAGCAGGCACCGGGTCATCTGGCACTGGATCGTCTGGCTCGACAGCGGGCATCGGGTCACCAGGCATGACAGCGGGCACTGGGTCATCAGGCATTGGATCGTCTGGCTCGACAGCGGGCATCGGGTCACCAGGCATGACAGCGGGCACTGGGTCATCAGGCATTGGATTGTCTGGCTCGACAGCGGGCATCGGGTCACCAGGTATGACAGCGGGCACCGGGTCACCAGGCATCAGGTCATTTGGCTCACCAGCGGGCACCGCGTCATCTGGCAAGGCAGTGGGCACCGAGTCACCAGGCACGACAGTGGGCTCTGAGTCAATTGGCACGACAGCGGGCACCGGGTCATCAGGTACCGGATTGTCTGTCTGGCTCGACAGTGGGCATCGGGTCACCAGGCATGACAGCAGGCACTGGGTCATCAGGTACCGGATCGTCTGGATCTACATCGGGCACCGGGTCATCTGGCATTGGATCGTCTGGCTCGACAGCGGGCATCGGGTCACCAGGCTTGACAGCGGGCACTGGGTCATCAGGCATTGGATTGTCTGGCTCGACAGAGGGCATCGGGTCACCAGGCATCAGGTCATTTGGCTCGACAGCGGGCACCGCGTCATCTGGCAAGGCAGTGGGCACAGAGTCACCAGGCACGACAGTGGGCTCTGAGTCAATTGGCACAACAGCGGGCACCGGGTCATCAGGTACCGGATCGTCTGGCTCGACAGCGGGCATCGGGTCACCAGGCATGACAGTGGGCACTGGGTCATCAGGTACCGGATCGTCTGGATCGACAGCGGGCACCGGGTCATCTGGCATTGGATCGTCTGGCTCGACAGCGGGCATCGGGTCACCAGGCATGACAGCGGCACTGGGTCATCAGGCATTGGATTGTCTGGCTCAACAGAGGGCATCGGGTCACCAGGCATCAGGTCATTTGGCTCGACAGCGGGCACCGCGTCATCTGGCAAGGCAGTGGGCACCGAGTCACCAGGCACGACAGTAGGCTTTGAGTCAATTGGCTCGACAGCGGGCACCGGGTCATCAGGTACCGGATCGTCTGGCTCGACAGCAGGCACCGGGTCATCTGGCGCTGGATCGTCTGGCTCGACAGCGGGCATCAGGTCACCAGGCATGACAGCGGGCACTGGGTCATCAGGCATTGGATCGTCTGGCTCGACAGCGGGCATCGGGTCACCAGGTATGACAGCAGGGCACCGGGTCATCAGGTACCGGATCGTCTGGCTCGACAGCGGGCATCGGGTCACCAGGCTTGACAGCGGGCACTGGGTCATCAGGCATTGGATCGTCTGGCTCGACAGCGGGCATCGGGTCACCAGGTATGACAGCAGGCACTGGGTCATCAGGCGTGATAGGATCATCAGGCTGGTTCAGTTCATCAGGCTGAAGTGCGGGTGCCGAGGCACCAGGCTGAACCACGGAAGGCAGTTTCTCAGAAGGCAGGCTCACCGGTTTGGATACTGGCAGGATGGTACTGGTTGGAAAGAATTTTCGCTTTTTTCTGGTTTTAACTACTGGAGCACTGCAAGTAAACGCAGGTCTGCAAACGAATGGAGCAGCTGAGGACAGAGAAGAGCTGGAAGATGGAACAGAGGAGGGAGCAGTTGCTACAGAGGACTTCTTTACAGGGTTAAAGAAAGGATAGGTGCAGCGAGTGGGAGCAGAGGACTGATATGTGGTAGTTAGCAGAGTATACTGGGCCGTCACTGGGGGTGCTGTCGGGGATGTAGGAAGAGTGCCTTGAGTGGAGGAATGATGTTGTAAGCTGACTGAGGCTGGGTGCAACAAGTCTGACCATGTCTGCAGTATGGGTTGCACAAAGCTCAGCTTACACAAAGCCTGTCTGGTCAAAGACTGCACTGTGTTTATACAATCCCTTAATACCTGTGGTGAACATGCAGCATAATGCTCCAAGAAGCAATCCACATCATCCTCTAATAACCATACCAGGGACTCTACCTGGTCTGCACTAAATGGTGGCAAAAAGTCATTCCTGCTTTCAGGGGTACCAGATGAAGCCAACTCTACACAAACCTGAATCAAAGGTTGCACCTCAGAGAACTCTGTGCCCTGATCTACTAGAACATGAGTGATCCGTATACATTCTAGCAGTTGATCCCGGGTATACTCCCTCAGAGTCTGATAAGCATATTCTCTGTCATCAAAAACCAGCAGCGACAAATACACAACCTCATCAAGATCCATCCTTCCCAGCAACAAGCCAAGATGGCTTCCCTGTGCAGCCACTTCTGGTCAGGATTGGCCTTGGTGTAATGTCAGGGCTCCAGGGTATGACCAGAGGTATGTGAACTGACGCAGGGAAACGCAGGCTTCAGATATGTTATAAACAATATAATTTATTAACACTAACAATACAAAACGCAGTGCAATACTAAAACATAACACAGTGCAAACGAACCAAACCACCCAGATAACAATACATACAATGCAAGCGTCGTCAGGCAGGCCGGGTCAATAACAATCGGGCAGGTAGGAACAGGAGGAGCAGGCAGAGAGTAGTCAGGTCACGAGCCGGGTACAGCAACTAACGGGCAGGTAGGTACAGGGTGTGGCAAACTTGCTCATCAGAATTGGAGCGGAGTTCCCCCTCAACCCTCGTTTTCGTGTTCTATCTGTTTATCTGAGGCATTTCTCAAATCACTCCTCACATCCCCCCTGCATTCCTGTGAGGCAAAGGTTATCTTCTGGCAGATGGTGTGGGGGACAACCAGGAAGACATGAGAAGTGGAGCCAGCCAGTCTACAAAGGTGTCACTTTTATCACCCAAAACTATGTAGGCCCACTCATTATCAAACCAACCAGAATAAGTGCACAGTCCTCAGATCAACTGTATGGTTCATATCACGGGATATGAGCTAGTAATTTAGTGTAGAGTTCCCCAATGACCACTCCCAAAATGGGTAGTCAGAGCCCCCCCTTCCCCTGAGAGGGACCCTTTAAGACTTTTAAGTGAGTTAGAGAGACTCTGTCACACACACACAGGGATCTCCGGGCAACATTGTAACAGAGGAGATCAAAGAACCTTTCGGCTCACAACTTGAATTTGCTAAAACCAGGCAAGGCAAGTAACTTACCCTGTATTTTCTCGCTATTCTGTTTGCTGTGTCTTTGTATATATATATATATATATTCTTGTGTCATCTCTGTAACTATTTATTTGCATCTGTTTGACTCTGTTAGAAATAAATCTTTCTTTCTGAAAGTGTTAAACTGTTTCTAAGCACTTACTTGCAATTCACGAATCCCTGCCTTTGAAGAGACGCTACAGTTTGTCATATATCTCTGTATAGCAGGTCCGCGGGCCGTGCTATATAGACCAATATTTCAATCATTATAGTGTATATTTAGTAACGGGAGTTTCCCAGTCTCCGACAAAAGTGGTGGTGGCAGTATAGGGTTAGTTGCGTAACTAACCTGACCCAGTAACAAGCGCATCCAGGCTGCAGGCACCGATTGTAGTCCATTAGCTGGGCAATCGCTGTGTAGGGTGCAGCTGGGTGGGGCCTTGTTACGCGCGTCACACCGCGGTTTTGGATCGGCCGGCCCTTCGGTCACGAGTTTGGTGAGAAGGTCTGGGGTCTGACGCCGTGGGCGTGACATATTACTGTTAGTCGCGGCTGTGCGATTGTCGCCTGTTGGTGGCGGTGACCGCGGGTCGTGACACAGGGGGTCAGGCAGAGAATGGTCGGGGTCACAAGCCAGGGATCAAACAGGAGAAGTCAGCAGAGGTCTGGATCAGGCAGGGTCGGCAACGAATCAGTCAGACAGGAACAGGAACAGGGATGCAGGTAACAAGATACAGGGGCCCATAGAAAAAACACACACCAAGGCACAGACTGCAGGTCTGGCCATCCCTTAAATACACCTGTAATCAGCCTCAGGTGTCTTGGCTGACTACAGGGTTGAGTCTCTGATTGCTGAGAGCACCCGCTGGCCAGTCCTTGTACTGCAGCCCAAAAGGCAGGTGAGTCCCACCATTACTGGCAAGACCATTCCTGACACTTTCATTAGTCCACAAAATGTTGCGCCATTTCTCTTTAGGCCAGTTAATGTGCTCTTTGGCAAATTGTAACCTCTTCAGCACGTCTTTTTTTCAACAGTGGGTTTTTGCGGGGGTTTCTTGCAGATAGCTTGGCTTCACATAGGCGTCTTCTAATTGTAACAGTACTCACAGGTAACTTTAGACCTTCTTTGATCTTCCTGGAGCTGATTGTTGGCTGAGTCCTTTCCATTTTGGCTATTCTTCTATCCATTCGAATGGTAGTTTTTTCGCTTTCTTCCACGTCTTTCAGGTTTTGGTTGCCATTTTAAAGCATTTGGGTTCATTTTAGCTGAGCAGCCTATCATTTTCTGCACTTCTTTTATATGTTTTCCCCTCACCAATCAACTTTTTAATCAAGGTACGCTGTTCTTCTGAACAAAGTCTGGAATGACCCATTTTCCTCAGAATTTCAGAGAGAAATGCACTGTAACCAGCATGTACAACATTTGCTGCCTTCCTTCCTTAAATAAGGGCAATAATTGCCACCTGTTTTTCAAAGAATGAATGACCTCACTAATAGAACTCCACACTGCTATTATTTTGAACATGCCCCTTTCAATTAGTGATTCAATTACACAGAATCAGCAGCATGCATGTCATGACTGTTGGGTCTGTTGGATTTCTATTACTCTACTACACCTGCTAGTAAATTATTTGCCATGTAGAAATATAATTTCTACCAAAAACAGTGATTGATCAGGTTAGTGATGTCTGACTGCTATTATTTTGAACACAACTGTATGTGAGGGATGAGAGGAGGGGGAGCAGCGACTGTTGCATGCAGCATAGGTGCTTGTAATGCCAATGCGAAATTGACTGCTGTAGGTGACAGGAGTTGTGGGGAAGGGAGAGTGGTGACAGGACTGGATGAATTGAAGCCAGATAGCGCTGGATGGAGATAACCATAAGTCTGTGTCGGAGGAGGAAAACTGCATCTGGTGTAGCTGAAGATAGGTTGTGCACGGAGCCGACGAGTGTATGACATGTGAGGGCTGGGAAAAGGGGGAGAGACAGTGAGAGAGGAGAGGAACAGCTGATTCTGACAGTGGTAGCTGCTGATGAAGTGGGGGTCACAAGGGGAGCTATGGATGTGAAAACATTTGGATGACAAAGGAGGAGAAGAGGGAAGTGTGAGGAACGCGGCGTCAGACCCCTGACATTCTCACCAAACTCGTGACCGAAGGACTAGCCAATCTAAAAAACCGCGATGTCACGTGGGTAACAATGCCACACCCAGCTGCACCCTGCACAACGATTTTCCAGCTAATTGGACCACAATCTATGTACCAGCAGCCTGGGAGCGATTGTTACTGGGTCAGGTTAATTACGCAATTAACCCTTCACACTGCCACCACCTCCTTTTTGTAGAGAGAGGAAACTCGGCGATATCAGCTATAACACTATAATGGTTGAGATAATCGTCTTTATAACACGGTCATCGCAGGCCGGTTATACAGAGGGTTAAACAAACACAGAGGCAGGAATTCGGAAATTGCAATAAAGAGCTATAGAAACAGTTCAACACTTTCAGAAAGAAAGATTTATTACTAAAAGGTCAAAGGGGTGCAATAAAAATATTTACAAAAAAAAAGATGTAACATATATATATATATAAATATACAGAGAGCAACAGCAAAGAGATAACAGAGAGAAACTAGAGGGTTAAAGTACTTGCCAAAGTCCTGGGTTAGCAGATCAAGTTTTAGAGCGAAAGGGTACATGTCTCCCAAGTTGGTTCTGATGTTAATTGGGAGAATTCTTTAACCGCTTGCCGCCCTGCCACTGTGTTTATACGTGTGCAGGGCGGCAGTGGAGCGCAAAACCACGTTTAAAAACGGGTTCCGCGCTCCCGACACTTTCGCGGGCAGGGGGCGTGCGCGCGTGCGCGCCGCCGACCCGCGGGGTGATCCGATTCGATCCAGGAGGGATCAATCATTAGATTTCAGCCAGTGATTTCTGGCTGAAATCGGATGATCGGTCCCTGTCCTATCCTGTCCTGTGTTGATATTTACACAGGGCAGGATATGATGTCATTCTTCTCTGCCTGGACACATTCCGTTCCAGACAGAGAAGAAGAGACATTTAAACGTGAGTAAAACACTACACTAACAGTTAGAACACACTCTAGGACACATTTAACCCCCTGATTGCCCCCCCCCAGTTAACCCTTCACTGCCCTGTCACCAGTGTACCTGATCAGTGAAGCGATTTTTATTGATCACTGTATCAGTGTCGCTGGCGACTTCCAATAGTGCTAGCGCCCCTCCCAGATAGCGCCAGTTTGCCCCCCAGTACACCAATAAAGCCATTTAACCCCTTAATTTCCCCCCCACCCCCCAGTGTTAGCGCCCCTCCCAGATAGCGCCAGATTGCCCGCTAATACACCAGTAGTCCCGTCTAACCCCTTGATCGCCCCCCCCCCCCCCCCCTCCCCGAGTTGACCCCTTCACTGCCCTGTCACCAGTGTCACTGATCAGTGAACCAATTTTTACTGATCACTGTATCAGTGTCGCTGGCGACTTCCGTTAGTGTTAGCGCCCCTCCCAGATAGCGCCAGATTGCCCGCTAATACACCAGTGATCCCGTCTAACCCCTTGATCGCCCCCCCCCCCTCCCCCCTGAG